CATTCAGGAGAGGAATATTAACATGCTGTCCCATGTAATATGCATTAAATGAACATTGCATTGCAAATGCAAAGTTCAATTTTTTGGATTCCTGCCTATCCAGTGATCTCCCCTTTTGAACTTGCATTCTTGTGTGGAGTTCTGTCAGACAGCTGCTTGGCTATTACCTGTGAGCTTTTGCAGATGACATAGACGAAGTGCTTGCTAGATCTTTTAACTGCATCAGGCACTGTAATGGCAAACCCATCTTTTCCACACATGGTGAGGCTGCTGCTTCTTTTGAAAAGCATCTTGCAACAGCCTGTGTGCTGTGGGGCTGTCAGAAACATATGCATCATAATAAAGATTTATGTTTTGTCTAGAAGTCAGCCCCAACAATACCAGACTCTATTTAATACCTTGCTGCTTGTGAGCTGTGCAGTGACTAAGTCTTCAGAATTGTAATAGTCAAAGCTCATGCTTGTCTCTTTCCATTTGTCCTTTTGGTGTGGAGTCTGTGCTTCCTGACTCTTAGAAAGTTATTTCAGAGCTAATTAACTTATTTTAAATGAGTGCAGGTGTTTTTCCCCCCTAGTATTTCATTTCTTATCTCCTGTGCAAATAGAGGTCTATAAAACCACATTAGTTGGCTTGGCAGACTAAAGGAAATGCCCTATTCCTTCCTTAGTCTGTGTATCATAATAGCTATTACCATTCTGCAATATGTTTTTAAAATATGTAATTTGATTAAATAGTGAATACCTGGTAGTTAGGGTAGTTAGAGCTTGGGGGGTTTTTTTATTACCACTTACATGGACTGAGTCAGAATCAAAAGCATTAAATGAGCATGTAATGGGGAATTCTCCTTAAAGAGTCCATGTAACAAATATGCCTGAGGGATGAACTCCGTTTTTTGTCATCCAGAGATAAATTGAGAGGAACTCTAATGAAGTGAATGGAAGTAGCTCACATTAAAATCACCATAATGATAGAAGAGAAAAAAAATCATCTAATACCATCAAAAAGTTTCTTTTTTTTCCCCCCTTCCTGACACACAGATATACTTTGCTGCTTACTCCAGCTTTACCATTTCTAGAATACAAGTTAATTGTAAGGAATTAGTCCAGAAAAGTCCCTTTGAGGCCTTGCTTAAGTAAGGACTGCCCATAGCTTTTAAAGGACTATGACATCAGAAAGGAAAATGGCAAACTTATAAAAGAATGAACAGACACAAGAAGCATCTAAAAGGTACTGATGGAGATTTGTTCTGCTATGGATTTTTTGCTATATAATGGATTCAGTGTTTAACAAAATGGCAGCATGGTTAAGGATAGAAGGATTCTGGAAGTCATCTAGTCCCATTCTTGATCAAGCAGCACCACCTGGACTCAGTTGTCCAAGACCATGTCCGGGACCATCCCTAGGATGGAGACTCCACCACCTGTCTTGGCAGCCTGTGACAGTGTTTGGTCACCCTTAATGAAATAATTACAAGCACGGAAATAAGAAACTTTACCCATATCTTGAAATGACCATTATAGTATTCTGCCAGCACAAAAATGAGGCTGAAAGATTTGACATGATCATTGTCTGCCTGGGAAGGAGCACAGCCAACAGAAAGGGGGACACAGTATTGCCTTGAGATTTTACCTGTATACTCTCCCCAAGTCTGAGCCTAATATTGCACACAAGTATGTCAAAAAGCTCCTGAGCCAGAGAAAACCACTGTCCATACTGTCTGGCCTTTGGTTAATCTGATCACTTAACAAAAAGTGGTCTATTTTTACTGTGGAGAAAGAAAAAAAGATATTAGGAAACGGTCTAAAGTGATGTGAGCAGACTGCAGAAGTTCACATATGCTTAGAGAGTTTTGGGAAGATTTTAATGGTTAAATGTTTGAGTGCTGCAGGACACCTACTGAAGTTGGCTACCCGGAGATATCCTACTGGCACCTACCTGAATATCAAGGTGCTACACTTGTGGGCAGGATGGAGAGGAGAGGCTGTCTTGCCTGCTCAAAGGGTCTGTGCTTTCTGGCAGATCTGGAACTGAGAAGGGGACTGCACAGCTGCCTGAGGATGCACTAAGTTACACTCAGGTCCAATCTCTGTTAAATATTTATAGTGCCTGATCAAAAGCTTTACAGGGAAGGAAGAAATATGTTCTGCATTATATTCTTTGTTTTTAAGCAGTTGATTCACCTGAAAATTCATAAACTAATGTAACAGATTTCCCTAGAATAGCCCCAGTCTGTGGTTCCTTACAACAAATGCATTATGCTGTTACAGGGAACTTTAAAGCTGGGAATGTGCAGTTTACACTGGCTTCCATCAGTGGAACAGACCCAAACCATTTCAGAGTCAGCCTTTTCTCTACCTAAATGATTCAGAACATTTGGTGTCACTTATTGGTTTTAAACACTGTTTGCCATTTGTATCCTACTAATAATTTTTTTTTTTGCAATAGGTGTTAAAAAAGAAAATGCAGTAGACAAAATTGAGGAGAAAAACACAAGCACATGTGTGAATATCTTCTTTAAAATAGTCTACGTTTCTTTCTACAGACGATTTTCAGTGTTTGAGGGAGGCCTGCAGGTTGGTGTGCCTGAAGACACTTATTAGTATGGTATCCTAAATCTCACGTGCCAGTCTTCTGTCAGGCTTTGCATCCCTATGAACTGAGCTGGTCATGCTCCTTGCTGGTAACACTGGCCAGAGCTGCAGAGATGGCTGAGAGGGGTGGACCTTCTCATAATGCTGAAGATACCCTAGTGCTCTAGAGTGCTCTGCCGATTTGCCAAGTCTCTGTCCATGGGAATTTCTTTTCACAACTGGAGATTGATCACCTACTGGACTTTTAGATTAATTTTATTAACAGGCACATACTGAATCATTACGTTTGACTTGTGGTTTGATTTTATACTTTTCCTTTTCTCTTATGAAAAACAGAAACATTTTAAAAATAGTAAATAAAGTGAAAATGGGATTTAATTTTTTTTAAAAATGCTATTAAGTATGAAAATCATGTTATTGTTTAAATAAGTTAGTAATTGGAGGAGGTATTTTTTCAATTTTTTTTCAAGCTTTTTTTCTCACTAATCACTTTTTCCCTGAATTTATTTTTCTTTTTATATAGTTTATTAGATGCTCAGTAGATAATTTACAGATCTAAATTTTACACTGATGGTGCAACTGCAAAAATTTTGTTTGTGCTTTAGGATTTGAAACTAGCAAAGTAGCTCAGATAGTCCTGTGAAAGCACAATATTTGAGTGAATGAATCTTCATTTCTGGCTGCGCAGGCATAGCATTTGTGGGAACAAAGGGAGAAGAACCCACTTAACAATCCATTAATGGAGCTTTGTAGCCTTTCTGTTTATGAGGAAACATAACGAATGACCCATTAGATTATGAAACTACTGTGCAGAGAGCCATGGTCCTCTAGGCTTTTCCTAAGGAAGACTAGTAAGGCATCCAGATAATCTAATGACTTGGGCTCTGCAGCTATGGATGGTGGTTAGATATTTCTTGAATTGTCAAAATCTGTGGAAATTTAGATCGCGTGTTTTGTTGCTTTGTCACAAAAATGCAAATTGTGAGCAGAAGTGGAAGTGCTCAAAATTCGTACAGAAAGAAAGGTGGGATAGCTGGTGTGCCTTACTATTGAATTTCTTACAGTTTATTACAAACATTTCCTGAATATCTGACAATTAATTGTTATGGACTGCAATTATGGCATGAATATGTGCTGTATTTGATTTGAAATCTGTAACACTGTAACAACAAAATTATTGCTGATTTATGCATCTGGTTTAATTTTCTGTTGTGAAATAAGATTAAGCTGAGAGGTTTTTCTAAAGTTTGTAGAGGACTCTTATTCGCAAAAGCACTGAGTTCTTTAAATTCTGCCTTTTGATTTCTTCACGATTGCTTCTGTTGATGTCAGTGGAAGCTTTGTGGTTTGTTTGTATACATATCTAGACACGAGCATCTCCTACCACCACTGCTGTTGGCAGCTCTTTCAGCACTGAGCACAAGGCTTGTGGTCCCTGAGAAATCTCACAGTGTATTGCTGCTTTTAAAACAAGTAATAACCCCCTCAATCACATGATAACAGCATATGAATGTGAGCTCCATTCTTGAGGCCATTGGTCACCCTACTGATATGGTTGGGCTTAAGACACTGCAAGTTTAAAAACTGCAGGCTTAAAATATTACTACTCTGGGAGCAGTGCAGGCTAGAGTGTTATTTATTGACAGCTATGAGGCATTGGCAGTGACCATCTTGGCCACAAAAGTTGCTTCTTAAAGTTCCATTTTTGCACAAGGTGAGGTGATAGAAGATACTGCTTTTTGCACAAGTGAGAAGATGGAGTGGTATCATAACAGCTTATAAACCTGAAAATGTTGAGCCAAAACCCTGGGGTTTGGCTTTTAAAATAAATAAATAAATGCATGAGTTTAAATCAGAGAACTAATTGATGCTCTATGATTGTTCTGGAGTATTTTTCCAACTTAGTGGTGATGAGATAAAATTTTATTTAAGCAAAACATCATTAGTCCCTCCCTTTACTGGTTTTGCTTACTAGGAATGAGAAAAGTCTTGGGTATCTGGTTTTGGTTTTGTGTTTTTTAAGATTCCTACCAGTTTTTCCTTGCTTTTCAAGATGGATAGGCTTCACTAAGCGGCAGTGTTGCCAGAGATCCCAGCTACTGAAGGAAGCAAATTAACATAAAATATGGTAATTTGTTTTCCCTGTCCTCCAGTTACAGTGAGGAGAGTCTAAATATTTCAGTGACTGAGACTTTGGATTCCTATTCCTTGCTCCACAACAACAAAAGCTATTTATAGCAATAACAGTTAGCAGCGATACAGCAGCCTCAGACAGTTACAGGCAGCATCTCACAAATGTTAACTGCTTTTGCACTGAATATCTCTGTGAAAACAAAGAGCACTGAGAAATAAAGATCAAAGCAAAACCAAAAGAAAGATTTTTTTATTGCTGTTTTACTTTGCTGGCAGACCAGAGCAAAGGTTTTCTGAACATTTAAAAGATGAAAAAGGTGAAGAATCCCAGAAGCGATTTATCTTGAAGCGAGATAACTCTAGTATTGATAAAGAAGACAATCAGGTTGGTTCTCGGTTCGAGAGTTGCTGAAATTTGTTCTGTTTTTGAAGGTGGGCTGACTGATGTTATTGTTGTTCTTTTGTTGTTGCTCTCCTCCTGCCCTGCCCTCTTGACCCTCCCCACCTCGTTTTTACACATGTGGCACCGAGCCCCAGCGTGGCCGCTTCAGCCATGGAAGTGTGTGCGGTTTGCATGGGTGGTTTGCTTGGCGCAGGACTTGCTGCATGCCCACGGGAGGGGGAATGCCGGTGGCTCCGGGCTGCGTGGAAGGCTATGTCAGTTGTGTTCCTCGATGTCTTGCCTAGCTATGGCAGTTGTTACACTCCCTGTAGCTTCCTTCTTTCATTGTACCCATTCAGAGTTGGATTTCAGTATGGACCAGTGATGAACCAATGTAGCCCAAAAAGGAGAGAGGGGAAAAAGAAGTGTAAAAAAAAAAAAGCCCCAAAGATGTGATGGTGAGGCCAGGTTGATTTTTTTCTTAACCATTCTAAATTACATTTTGACCAAAAGTAAATGAGGCTGATCTTTTACTTCCCTTCCTCCTCCTGTGCCCTCACCACCTTTTACTTTCTGTGTAACTTGCTTGTGCATGTACTTGGGGCAGACGTTCTCCCCTGTATTGCCTGTGCCATAACACTACCTTAACTTAGGTGAGTAGGGGAGCACCAGGGAAATGTGTGTTTGTGCTGCCTTTAAAAGTGGGTATTGTGCTGTTTCAATACAGTGCAAGCTGTGTATGTGGAATAGATTAACCAAAAAAAAAAAAAAAAAGAAACAGTTCTGATGTGATTTGCTTTTATGAGAAAATTGTCAAGGTAAGAGAACAGTGTATGCTTTCTTTGCTAGCGTTATATTTGCAGAGGAACCAACCAGTGAGTCTCTTGCTGCCACTTCCCTTTATGTTTCCAGTAAAGGACTGGGTTTTTCTTTCCTTTTTTCGCTCTTTTTCCTTGACTTTCAGCTGTACATGGCAGTCTTGCCAGTTGTGGTGCATCTAAGTTGGCTTTGAAAACAAGCCCCAAGCAATTTCAGGGTGTGGTGACCATGGGGATCAATCAAAGGAAAGCAGCATGACCTATCTCACCAAGTGCACAGGTGCAGGGGAGGGAAGGACCAGTCCTTGAAGCCCACTTGTCAATGAAGCATTTCCCAATGGGGCTCATCTCCACTTTTTCTTCCCCTGGCACAGCCATTGCACACACTATCATTTACCAAGAGGCAAAAATGGCCCATCTTTTCCCAGCAAAACCTCAGTAGAGGGTTCCATACAGTGTGAAAATGGTTAAAACTGTTGTGCTATCTGGGACTTCTCTTTGCACATATAGACTTTGTGGGTTTCTTCTAGGGTTTACAGTTTAGCTCTTGCAGCCTATTACCCTCTTTCTTCCTTGATTGCTTAGGTAGCCCACCACTGCCTGCCCTCCTGCTCCTCACAACTGGTAGGAGAACCAAGAAATGTTAGCAGTTGAGAACAATGACACTTTGACACTTAGACCTGGGATGAGAACACCCCATTTTAGGATGGCAGGTCCACAAAAGCTGTGTAGAAAGCCTCCTTTTGGCCACCTCCTCTATGAACCCATGTGGAATATCTAACTGGAAATCCTTGGGCGCCCAGTCTCGCAGGGTTCTTTGTGCAGGAATGACAGCTATCATTTTCGTGCTTCATTTGTTTAAGTGAATATTTATTATTGTCAGCTGAGAGTTACTTAATGGCAGTTTTTAACAGCTCAACTCATATAACCCTCCTGGTTTTCTTTCTGCTCAGCAAAACAGAATTCTTCCATTTAGAGATGACAGACGAAGTAAATCAATTGAAGAGAGAGAAGAGGAGTATCAGAGAGTGAGGGAGAGAATATTTGCACAAGATGTGAGTAGTTATTTTAATTGCCTCTTTAGTGCCATACCTTCGCCGGTAGTCAGTTTTGCGCCCCTCCTACAACAACACTGCAGCTGGACTTGCCCTGTGGAGCTGGAGGTGACAGGGAAAGCAGATTGGCACAGAGGGTCTCAGAGGAGCTTTAGAGGTGTGGAGGTTGGCTTTCTGGAGAGTGAGGTGATGAGAGTTGCAGGGAGAAGGGTAGAGGAGAGATCAGACCCAGCATGTTGTCTGGGGAGTGCCTATCCTGTTTCTTTGAATGTTCATGTTCACATGGCATAGGTTTGCTTCTTTTTTCCTTCTCTTTTACTAGCCAAAGAGCAGTGATTTAAGGGCACACTCTCAATAATTTCAAATAGCTGTGTTATTTTATATTTCTTTCAAAGTGGATCAAATCTTTGTAAGCGTCCTTCTGCAGAGACTCTCATGGTTTTGGTATTTTGGGCCAGTGCTGTACCATTATGACAAACAAAGAAACAATGAAACAAAGAAACAATGAGAACAAAGAAAGGGCAGAGGTTAAACATGAAGTTTAATAGTTTTTTAAATGTCTGATTAAAATGTACTTCTACTATCAGAAAGAGTCAGTTATGCTGTTGATGATTATATTCTGAAAGGAATAAAATGAAGCAGACATTAAAATTCTTGCCCTTACTAAAAGTCAGAATCTGCACAACAAGGTATATTGCTAAGGAAAATATTTAAATCTGAAACATCTGTGAGCAATACCTGATTTTCCTGAAAAAAAGAAGAAAATCGCAAATTGCTAAAATACTGTAATGATAAGGTAATAAAAGGAAAAAAGTCACCATTTTAATGTTTTATCTCCTATCTCAGAGGGAGTCCTGCCATTTAGGAGGAATATGGGAATAAACCAAATTAAAATTATTTTTGAAAATCATGTGCGTCCTTTTAAATTAAAACTGTTCTTATGTTGCAGGGCTAATAGTACTATTATCTGGTTTAGGAATTGCACATGTCCAAGTCGGGTTTTTTTGGCAGAATACACTGTATAATTTTAAGATGTGTGTTGTCTCGCTTCTTAGTAAATAGCTAGCTGCATCTAAATGGTTTTAGCTTCACTTCTTTCTTGGCTGAGATGATTTCAGTAAAAGCCCTTCAGTTTCTGTTTTGCCTTCAGCATGTTGGTCTGATGTAAATACTGTCACAGGCTATACATGGTGGAAATGCCAAGTTGTTCAAGAGCTGCAAGAGCCTCTTTGCAACAAGTTTATTTTATGACATATAAGAGGTTTTGGCACATTACAAAAGAGCTTGTGCAGGACCAAAAAATCTTTGGGTTTTGAAGCAGAATTCAGATGGGGTGAAATGCTAAAAATTACCAAATACAAAGTTATTACCAAATAGTCCAGTTTCTATCACAAGCTGCAGCTAGAAATGCCAGGCTGGGAAACAGGGGTGGTTGGAAAAGTGCGCTGAAAGTGGCTCTATAGTGTATTGCTGCTCTTATCTTTAGATATTTGAGTTCTAAAAACAGGCAAGTGGTGAGCATTTGAATTGCTCACAGCAGGAGGCTGTTGTGGTTCATTGGGTTAGCATTTTCGAGTGGCAAGACCTAAGTAAAAGTGTGCTTTATGGCAGGCATTTTAAACGGAATTGGGAGGGAGCGTTTTTAAAGATCAGCAATGTTAGCTATCTCTCCCTCTCTCTCTCATATCCACTCCTTTGCTCTCTCTCTCTCTCTACTATTGTAGGTGTTAGTGAGCATCATAGTGCAGTGAATTTCAACAAGCTGTATGTTTAATGTTAACAGTAATCTATGTTTTAGCTGAGCTTTTTTGGGTGGAGCACCCCTTGCCAGATACAAGGTGCTTTTAGGAAGATGCCAGTGATTGTGGTGGTGGACAATGTATTTTATCAATTTTAGGAAAGAGAGAAATGGCTTCCTGTTATAGATAGGCAATTGCTGCATGTAAGACTGTGAAGTTTTAAGGCCCTCTGCAGTCATTAATTAATCTAATTCTCCCCAGGTTTGTGTGTTGTTATTCTGCAAATTACAGATATAGGAGAGTCGAAGATGGATTAATCATGTGGTATTTTTATTACCTCTATACTGCTTACACTGCTGTAGTCAAGCATTTATCAGTGCCTTGCTTATGAATCTTAGCAAATGGATCACAGATACATCACTTCTAATTAGAGTATGCACGAAGAGAGCTTGCATGGGAGGTCTTCAAAGGGCAGCCATGAAGGTCAAGAGTACTGCTGTAACTTGTTGCATCCAGCAACAACTCCCCTCCCTCCACCAAACATGTTTTAGGTACCCAAAACCCTTTAGATAACAGCCCAAGAGTCATAACTTTAAACAAAATTTATGAGGAAAAGGCAGTCTGGTTGCCAGGGCAAAAAAAAATCATGTGTTTCAAGTGCTGTGAAAAATGTCTTAACCCAGACCCCACATAGTAATGTAAAGCTTGCCTGTCCTTCCTTTGATCTTGCAGGACTCTAGTGCACCAGATCTCTTCATTTCCAAGTGGGAAGGTTTTAACAAAATAAATATGTTCATAAGTAATGCCATCATTATGGTAGTCCTTATGATGATTGGTCTGGTATTAGTTTAAATTATACTTTCTGTTAAGTTTTCCAATTGCTATGTTGTCTATCACAAATTTCAACAAGAAGAGCTGGAAGTTTTAATGACTCCTGTCTCAGCAATTGGCAGGAATTGAGAAGCATGTTAGTTTTATATTTTAATAAAAATAATTGGTGAAGAAATAAGTAGTTAATAAACATGATTATTCCAGTGCACTGAAATAAGAACTGCAAAGTGCACCTCAAATTTTTTAGGCTGCTAACAGTAAAAAATGTGTAGACTGAGCTCTGTTATGCTGAAAACTATTTTTAAGGGTTTTTTTTAATTGCAAACTTTAAACCTTCCTTTTTAAAACATGTTTTTATTGGAAACTTAGTTTTAAAACAATTAGTGAATTTTACAGCCAAGTACACTGGAGCAGAGGACCTGCATTGTGTGGGTCTTGCAGGAAGTTCCTTGCCTGAACTGCTTTAGTTGTGTTTGGGAAGTTGAAAATTTATTGTCCAAGGAAGACAAAGAATAACATACAGGAATAAAAAAGTTTTTATTTCCTTCTGTGTAGATTTAACAGAGAATCTCAAATGCATGCATAAATGATACAGGATGTTTGGCTTTTAAGCATGCAGAAAATTGATTGTAAAGGCTAGTAATCAAATTATATGGGGGAAATTTCATTCTTCAAGGTTAGAGCTATGTATAACCTCATGAACCAGAGTCACTCTAGGACCTTTCAGTGTTCATAAATGCATTCTCTGGGAATCATTCTGTATTCACTGAAAAATGTAGATTTTTTTCATACTTACACAAATGCTAGAATTGCCCATGGTAGACATGAAACTTATTACAGGAAATACACCATGTTGTTTATTTTCTGTTGTCAACTGTAGTGTCTATTTTTCACCAAGGAGTGTATTCTGAAGAGCCAGATCCTTTAGGTACAGTAAGTCATGATTCCTGTATTTAAGAAAACTCAGAGAATCTTTATCTTAATCTCTGATTAAAAGAGAAACAAAAGAAATATATGTAGACGTGGTTTCAGCCTGTTCTGTCCCTCTAGTGTGAAAAGATTAGGAAGAAGAGGGCTTAAAATTAGTAAAAACAAATCAAAGGTACACCTCGTGCTGGCCACCATAAACCTGTAGGTACTAAAACTCTTGTACTGGTGTACAGAGACTTTCTTTGTGGCTGCAGATCAAATAACAAGCATTAGTTGGAAGCGTGAGATCTATCACATGTTGTTAACTGACGTGAAAATTATTACGTGATAATATCCTGTGCAGGATATTGCTGCACATTAATAGTTATCTGTGTTTGCTAATGTAATTTAAAACAGGAGCAGCAACTCCCAGTATATCTAGTGCACTGGCAGAACTGATGCACATTTTCCAGTTGAGACTTTAAAAGGTTCTTGGAAACTGGAAAAGTGAAATACTAATTTCATAAATAACAATTAGTTATGCAGAGCACCCTAATGTAAATCTTGCATACAGAGATCTCCAAGGACGCTAACTTGCAGGTAATCTTCCATAAATTTCTGATCTGGTAAGTTTGTTGCCAGTATGTTTAAAGTGTAAACAAGAGTCAAGTGTTTTAAGGACTTTTTTGATAACAGCTGTGCTGTGTGTTAAAGCTTTCCTGGTGCTTTAAATTGAGCAGTGTTGATGCTATATATCAGGAAAGTGAGTTTTGACCTTGTAGTAGCTAAATTTCTATCCAGAGCTGCTTAGCCATTTTATTTTTAACAGTAAAAATGAGATAATAAAAAAGTCCTTGTCTTCTCTGCCTCTCAGCCTCACACCTGTCTGAAGAATAATTTCCAGGAATTGTGTAGCACTGTGCCAACGTCATCAACCAAGAAGACAAATGGAGTTATTATGGACTCAGATTAAAGTCTATAATACACTTGATAGTGGTTCCCATCAAGATACTGAGAAGGAAGCAGACCTTTATGCTTGCTTGATAAAATATAAATTCCAGATATTTATTCTGCTTTATGCCCCAATCTCTTTAAAAATTTTAATCAAATAAAATAAATATAGACAGGTGCATTACAGGCCCCTTTGCTTTTGTAACTTTGTGGGCACACAGTCCAATACTCTGGTCTAAGCAAAGGTTTTTCTGTAAGAGTAGCTGTGATCTTGCACTTTGGGATGTGACTGCATGGAAGTCAATGCACAGATGTCCATCATGAAGCTCGAGAAGAAGACACAACCCCACAGCTGTGGTTGTACAAGTCCTTGGGGTGACTTCAGTATGCTTGTCTGGGGCTTTTTGCTTCAGCATAGTTAGATTAGCTGAAGTCTGCATATTTGTTAATGAAACCTGGTATCTGAGTAATGTACATAAAATGAGAGAAGACAGTGTTGTAGTTGTAGGAAGTATTCCAGTGATATTAGATGAAACAGTTTGTATCTTCTCTCAGCCTGGCATGAAACTCGGGGTCTGCAGTAGGTGGTGGGAATTTGGTTCCTGGCAATGGAGAACTTGCTCCTAATGCCCTGAGGCTTTATGCTAAGGAGAAGTGTACTTGCCCCTGATGCAGCCCAGTACTTTGCAAATTTAGCAGGAGTGCAGGGTAGGAGCTTTGCCTGGGGAGCCTCAGAACTGCTAGATGTTTCCCAATGTGGATTCTGAGTGGGTGAATTACACTCTAATGAGAAATCATATTGCCATCTCAGGGATAAATTTCTTCCTTTTGTAGGCTGATGAGGTAGCACGAGCTGTGGTGCCAAGGGAAAAATTTGTCCAGGCATCAGCTGGAGCATTAAGAATTAGCAGGGTTTTTCTCCTGGTGTTGGCCAGAACTCTTCAGTGGGTCATTAGCTCACCCTTTTCAAAACACAACCATCCAAAATCTCTGCCTATCCCATACTGCTAAAATTTGATACAGTTAATGATGGCATTTGGCATTTTATTATTCTTTGGGCTGAGTTGTATTGTTACAGAAGTAATGGGCATGATCTCTGGTGCCCTCCTCCCTTTGCCTGCCTTTTGTTTAAATTCAGTGCAAGTGCTGACTTGTTCTTTCTTCTCTACCTGATCGAGATATAATACAGCTATGAGGCATTTTGTGTAGCAAACATGAAATACGAGGGAAATTAAAAAATCAAAGAGGGAGAATTATTCATGGGAAATTGAGCTCATCTTTATTTCTTTGCATAAAAAATTAAGTAATTCTGAAAGAATTATACACTTGCCCATAGGATTTATTTCTTCTGAGTCCTTCACCTTTTTTTGGGAATCTAAGTCCTCAAGCAAAGAACCTTCTTGCTATGATTGTTGTTAATATTATTATTAAGAAGGTTATTATCATTTTATATCTCAATGTTCCTTCTTCAACCATAAAATATGAAGTCACACTCTATTTCTAAGTACTACAGTATCCTCTCTCCCTTTGAGGAACTTTGTTAATTCTGCATGCTTTCCTTCTGTTTGTCCTTCCTACCTACAGCTTGGTGCTATCCTGCAGTTTTATTTTGAAGTGATAGGCCAGACCAGTGGAACCTTATATTATGCAGGAAAAACATTTTTCCCCTTCAAATTGCCAGTATTTTGCACATAGTGTCTTCTTCAGATGTCTCAACGGAGACGTTTCAGTTTGTTCCCAAACTAAGTCGCCTTGTTGGCAATGTGTTGTAATGCATGGAATTTATTTTACTGGTCTGACTTTATTCTTGACCTTTTTTCTCCTCTTGTCTTCTGCAAATGCAAATGATGCATGAACTGAAATCCCCTTAAGCCTGAGCAGGAGTGGTAATTCTAAAATCAAGGAAGAAATTGGAACAGCAGAGCATATCTAGAACGTCTGATACAATGCCTTTTTTATTTTTCAGTCAGTTTGCTCCCAGGAAAACCTTTTTGTGGAAAACAGGTAAAAAATAGCTTTATTTTGTGTGTGTGTGTGTGTGTGTGTGTGTTAAACTTAGCTGTTTCTCTGATATTTTTTTGTCTAACTGTAGTTCTATAGTCATTTATGCTAATAAATGTAAACCATAAAGACTGAGCAAATTTGCAGCCCATATTATCTGCAGTGGTTTTTTGCTTTAAGAGGGGGTAATAGAGCTTACCTTGCAGTATGGTATCTGAGCAGATAAAGTATTACTGCTGCTTTCCTGAGGCTTTTGCATTTCTGTTTCAAAAGCAGATTGTGGGAGAGAGGGGGAGCCACCTAAGCTTTCATTTCAAGTGACTATTCTATCTCTGGAGTGCCTTTAGAATTTAACTTATTGATCTTTAAAAAGCACTCTAGCAGTGGCTGGATGACAGTATTTATGAAACACCAGACTTGGGTGTCTGTTGTTTAACCTGCTGTCCTGTGAGACTGAGCAGCAGCATTGGCATCGCTTGTTGCTTGTCAAGGCTTACAAGTTCCATACAAGTTCCTGCTTTACTGCTGCTGTGTAGTAATGAGATGGTGATATTTGAGCTCATGATTACTTTGCATTACTGCATGATAGTTCTTGTGAATGTTATTTTTGTTATGTTAAATCCACTCAAAGCAAAACAGAAGAGGAAACTGTGTTTGAGATCTACAAAATATGAAGTATTGGCTCCATAACCGCTGTAAAGTAGCTTAACTCTGTTGAAAATCTTAGATATTGTGTACCTTTATGGCAGATAAGGATTTTAACCAAAAGTGGGAATTTAATTGGTGAGTGTTTGAACAGTGCTGACCCAAGTCTGTCCTGCACAAGTATAGAAACTGTTCATGACCCCCTTGAATAAGGAGAGGCTCTCTCTCACAGTATTTTGTTCTCTCTCCATCCTTAAGTCTGTCAGATGCATTTATGGGTGATGCTGTTCCCATAGAAAATTACTCCAAAGTAATGGTACAAACCAGCTTTTCCAATGGACACTTCTGTAAGTGGAATGAGAAAGGGCCTTTAAGAGATCATGACCACTGTCGTCTAACCACCTCATAATCTGACGGCCAAGGGTATTTCTTCAGCTGCTGCTTCTGTGTCGTGACTATGGAGTTTTGTTTTATCAAAATAAATCAAAATTGCAACAGAGGAACCCGTAAAGCAAAAAGCAGATTATCCCATAAACCTGTTTTCCCTCTCAGGGGAGATTGGGGCAACAAAAATGACACAGTTGTTCATATTTCCAAGTCAGCATGGAAAGCACTCAGAGACTGCGCTGCTAAGGGTAGAGTGGACACCTTTATGGGATAAACCATGAACTCCATAGCGAGACCTCCCTTGGTTTATGCATTCAATCCCATACCTGTGTGCAGGAGAATGTAGTCAGTTCTGGTATTTGCATATGGTTTGCTTTCTTTGAACCTGGGAGCTGACTGACCAGCCCAGTGTGAGGATGCATACTCAAGTGGAGACCACTAAAAGGCCAGGTTGGAGATTGTACTGCCTGAACTGTTGCTGTCCTGAGGGAGACTTCAGCTGCATTCTGCAGAACACTGCTTTTTCTTGCTGCATGCCCTACAGCCTTTGATCAGGTGAAGCACTTAAACTTGTACCTAGCTCCATGCACATGAGCAATCTGTTTGATTTGCTATGTTGAAAGTTAGATGTGTGTTTAAGTGCTTTGCCTTTCTTTTTTGTCAGAGGATTTGAGCATTTCTCTGGGCTGCAAAGACTTCCAAGTGACTTAGCAAGTACTTAAAATTACATATGCAGTATGGAGTTTGCTGGCTTGCATTGTTTGTGTTCTTGTTAGGTGATATTTTAATGAATTTTCCTTTGGATGTAGAGGTATGGTTCCTTAGCTTCTGAGAATTACCTTGCTCAGTAACAGGAAATGCTAAATGGGCCTCAGCCTCCCTGGGTTGAGAGAGGAGGGGGCAGTTTTAGCCTTGGTTCTTTAAAATGAATCTAGCACAAATTGAAAAATGTATCTAGAAATCAAATAAAACTTTACAGACCAGATAAATTTGAATTACCATGGTTTTTAGCATAATCTTTCTTTTCATTTTTCAGTAGGCTGTTGGAAGACAGTAGCATATGCAATGATATGCATAAGAAAAGACAGCTGTTTAGGTTTGTATGAATTTTATTTGATATTTATTTCCCAGTGCATCCCACTTGTGATTCTATCTGTGTCCTCGCCAAGGCACACCTTGACATGTGTGGATATGTCAATTTTCTGTTTGGAAAGGAGCATGAAGAACAGAGTTCTAACCCACTCTTCCCATGTCCTCTGAATGTAGAGGTAGCAACAGGATCCTTTTCTTTGGTTCACTGCCTCAAGGAACCACATGAGATTTTCAGCTGCCTGGCTGCTCAGACTGTGACTATTTGGAAGAGACTGGTGGTAGCTCATTTTTCCTGGAGCATATATGGCAGGTGCATTTCATAAACTAGTGCCCAGACTGACCTTTTTTTCCTTTTGTTTGTTTGTTAAAAGCTGAAGTAAAAGTACATCGAGGCAAAACTGATTGAAGTTCCCTTTTCTGAAGTATCTGTGTTTTGAAACTTTTTTCTGTTAACTTTGTCTTCCCAATTCCTATTCCTTCCACACAGAGAACATTCAAATGCATCCCATATCCCTAAGTGCATCCCAAGCCAAGAGGAAATCAGGAAGAGTCAGTCCCTATTTTCATGGAGAGCAGTTCTACCAATTGACACACTGGATCAGTGGAAGACTGAATCTGGTGGTGACAGTGTTCTTCTGAGAGTTTTAGAAAGGTTGTCTTCCCCCATTATCAGCTCTCACGTATTCTGTTCAGATCAACCAGGCTGCTTTAAAAGTGAGTCAGCTGTCACAAGTCTTAAGCAGAGGAGGCAGAAGGAATGGATGTTTTCAAGAGTGTGCCCTTCATCTATTGAGGCACATGGACAGCAAGGCAGATATACACTAGATATCTGTGTGCATTGGGGTTTGTATATTCACTTCAAACCTATATCACTTATATTACATAACTTTTCACTAAGAGGAGAAATGGATGTGTGAGGAGAAAATTTGATGTGTGGTTGCTGAGTCTGCATGTCATCACAGCAGCCACAGAGGAGATGGATAGATTGCACCAGATAAGGAACAGTGCATCTGCTTCTGCACCCCATGACCATAGGCAGCAGGCAAAAAACTTCCTCCTTGCTTTGGACTAGCCTTGATGATCTGAGAGTCTTGAATTGGGCATGCAGGGCTTAGGAGGTGTCTACACACACACTCTTAATAGCTAATGTCTGTTCGAGTTTGGGTAACTAAAAGAAAGTTTTTGTAACCCAAAGCCACAGAAAACGGGGATACAATAGCATTCTGTTTCTCTCCCTCTTTTTCACTAGAATATCGATAGAAGAGAATTGTTAATTTCTAAGCACAAGAGTACAAAGGAGTCTGCACATAATATACTTTGGGTTTTTTTCTTTCCAATTAAATCTTAAGGGATGATTTCTTTTTAAAATATTTTTCCTTTTTTTTTTGTTGTTTCTTCTGTGCTGTTTCTCTTCATGCTTTCCCACTGTGTGGGTCTAGCAATAGTCAGCAGGTTTACACTGCTGATCGTATCTGAGAGAGGCTGTGTTGCAGGCAAGGGATGCAACAGCCCAATCCTATCTTTGACGTGCTGCCTCCTTCATGTTACAAGTAACACAGCTCAGCAAGCTCTCCAAATAAAAAGCAGGAACTAAGTCCACAAGGAAAAAGGAGACAAAAAAAATTAAATAGCTACAGTCCCATCCTTTTGATTTGTAGAAAGAGCCTTGAGCCTGCAAGCTACTTTACTGTAATATACGACAGAGTGGAAAATGTCTTTTGAAATCCTTCCAAATACAGTGTTATGAGCATCACTTGGGATAACAATCACAGTGCACTAAGCCGTGGAAGGTATTTTGGTTTTGTCACTTTAGCAGTACAATGTAATTAGTGTACCATAAACAAGCCAAATTCTTCTCCAAATTCTGATCACAGAATTTACTATGTTATTACTGACAGTACACTGGGTACTCTGCAACTGTTCAAGGATAGGCAGCCTCTACCCAGAGAATTTCATGATTATTCTATGCAGAGAGGAAACAAAATAAACTGACTTGTGGGTCTCTAAGTAAAGCATTAGCAGTGAAGAGATTGGGATCACACTGAGAGGACGCATATTTAGGCAAGGCTTTGGATGAGCTTACAAAGCTGATAATCACTGGGTGCAAGCTGCTATAGAAATAAGGATGTGAAGACAAAGGCAGAGTGCAGGTGAAGTTGGTGAGAAAAACATCACAGGGGATGGACAGCAAAGTGAGACGTGGTGAGGGGCTTGCTGAAGGAAGAGAACAATCAATGAACAACAGAAATGCTCTATCAGTGCTGCATAATACTGCTGTGTCAGCCCCCTCTTGTAAAGTGCTCTGAGAAGATATCCAAAAGGGGAGGGTGGTAAGTGCTGTGCATGTAAAACGGGTATAGAAGTGATTACGTGCTGAAGAAAGATAAGTATGGAGATCAAATCCCATTTCAGACCTGCTTTTATAAAGGCAGAGTATTTCCCTTATAAAGGTTGCTGCAGGGTACCTAAAGATGGACTCTGCCTTGACATGGTTTTATTTGTGTATAAATCCTTGTTTCATGATATCTGTAGGGATAACAGGGACAGCATTGGGAAGACATCTGGCAGTCGACAGAGCAGTACAGAGAACGAATTGAAGTGGACAGACCACCAGAGGCCATGGAGCAGCACAGACTCGGACAACTCAAATCGAAATTTGAAGCCAGCCATAACAAAGACAGCCAGTTTTGGTGGGATAACCGTCCTGACAAGAGGAGATAGCTCATCAAGTAACAGAAGTACCGGCAAGCTGTTTAAAACAGGTAGCTAGTACTGTATTGGGTTCACAGTGCTTCTTGTTGTGCGATGATAAATGGCTGTGCTGGTGCTCATCTGAATGTGGTCTGTCACAGAATGGTTTGGGTTGTGTGATAGGTTGACTTAGGAAGAAGAAACTCAGAAGAGGTTCTTCCTAAGGGAATTTCCTCTGTGGGGGTTGGGATACCTGCAACAGCCAATTAGAGAAAGTTAGTTCGCTCCGTGAACACACATTTTGAAGGAGGTAATCCTGAACTGAGGCTCTTGGTCTTTCCGGCGGCTGAGCAGGTAACACCAAGCGAGCTTCCCCCTCCCCCATGCGAGGGGGGAGGCTCGGGAGGCCGCTTGGGCCCCGTTTGCCAACGAGGGGACCCGATGGCCGGAGGGAGAAAAGGTTCTGTGATAAGACCTTCACGGCTTCCTCCTCCACGGGCCTGCGGCTCTGGCGTGGGGGGAGGCCGATTCTTGCTGCTGCCGGATGGGCCGGGCCTGCCCGGGTGGCCATGAGCAGTGTGGGGCTGCAGCCCAGCCCCAGAAAGGCTGATTGACACCTCAGCTGCCCCCCCAGCGCGGCCTGAGCCTGGCCCAACTCTTGTAGTTGTGTTAAACTTTAACTCTTTAGTGTTCAGATGAGATTTGCAAAGCCTCCAGCCTTTCCTTTGAATATGAAAGGGAATAAGAAGATTTCTGAAGTCAGTGACGTAAGAGCTAAGTTTTTAAGATGGAAGGAGAATGAGAAGATGCTGAAATGGCTGAAAATCTTTTTGTAAAATTGTAGGGATGAAGTGATGTACTGAATATTCCTATAAACCATGGAAAGAGACATGGGGGGATGGAAATGTTCCATTTAATAGATGATTTTACTAAAAAGCACCTGTGTTAAGAATTTCTGCCCTGAAAGAAGGGGATTTCGGTTTTCTGAAGATCAAGCCTGAGCAGAGAGAAAGGAGACAGAGAGAATCTTTGCTGTCGAACGTTTCATTCTTAAAAGTAATACCCCATGAGACAGACATGGCCCACATCTACAACTTTGGGACAGCTGTAGAGTTGGGAGGAGCGTCACGGTTGCAGGTTCCCGTGCGGATGCAAATCGTGAAAGACAAAACCACAAGAGAACTGTCTTTTTCCTTCTTGTGGGAAAAATCCCTACAACTTCAACGAGAAGAGGCTTCTCTCTCCAGAGGTGAACTGAGAAAGACTAAATTTGGGGACTGACCGAAGTATTTGTTATATGTTTGTTTTGTTGTTATGAAGATTGGGAGAGGGAGGGAAGGAGTGATCTGAAAAATCTTATTCTGAATTTTTTTCTCTCTCTCTCAAGTTTTAGGCCTGCCTTGCTCTTTTGCTCCTGGTTCTGTCTCACAACAGAAAAAAATAAGTTTATTTAAATTGGCAACTCAAACCAAAGACATTAATTTGGTGCGTTGGCCAGGAAGGTCAAAATTAAACCAAGACAGGTTGGAAGGGACCTTCAGAGACCAGTTAGTTTGACCCTCAGGGTTGGACTAGACAGCAAAATACATAAACAATTGTGTTTCCTGTGCACAGGAGGTGTGTATGTCCCTCTGTGGATGCTAGTATGTGGGCACCTGCTCCTGAGTTTTTAGGAATCAAGAGAAAAATGCAGTGCATGAGGTTTGAAAATCATAGGAGAGGCAGGTTTTCCCTGGAGTACAGTATATGCACACACTATTTGAACACCATCTGCACTTGCAGCCTGACAAAGTGGTACTCCTTTCAGAGAAAGCACAAATTTTACCTTTTTATTAATCTTAATATTTTTGAGTTGTGAATAATTAAATGTCAGATATCTGAGGAGAAATCCAAGAACATTTTTTTGTCATTGATAAAGTGCACACCATCTGTATTTTGGAGTACAGCCTTTGCCTTGGTGGTGGCAGTTGAGGGTGTGGTGGAAGCAGGCAGACATCGTGGATTCACAGAGGTCCCACAATCTCTCCATTTTCTTGTTTAGTTCCCATTAAACAAAAGCATCCTTTAAACAGACTATGAATCTGATGGGAATTCTGCATTTATTTGCATTAACTTTACAAGTACAAAAACGTGAGTGAGTCACAGTGTCTGGATCTAAGTAATTTCCAGCTATGCCATTTAGGTATTCTATTATACTTCAGGTTGAAAGTGTATAATAAATAATGAGGCCATCAGATGATTCCATCAGATTGGTTCATTTGATACCTATAGTACAGGACAAATGGTAATCAATACGTAGCACTTAGTGCACTTTCAGCTTGAGAGTGTTTTATGGATGGTACTAAATTTACACCCAGTCTATCAAACCCGAGTTGGTCAGATTTCACTCCTATTCCCCAAATTTTACAGTAGCTTTTGTGTGGTTCAGGATTCTGGGAAATGGAATTTTCAGAATAAATAAATAAAACCATTGACATAGTAATTACATTTTAGATCTCTGGATGTTGAACATAGTTTAAAATTTTAGACAATCATAAAGTCACTTGAGTTGAAAAGACCTTTGAGGTCATGAAATCCAACCATTAAAATAACATGGTCAAGTGCACCCCTAAACCATGCTTCCAAGGGTCACAATTTACGTTTTTTTAAATACCTTCAGGGATGGTGACTCAGCCACTTCCCTGGGCAGTGTTACAATGCTTGACAATAATTTCAGTGAAGAAGTGGGTTTTTTCTGGTATTCAGCTTAAACCTTCCCTCATGAAACTTGAGGCCATTACCTCTCATCCTGTCACTTGTTCCATGGAAGAAGAGAATGACCCCCACCTTGCTACAACCTCCTTTAAGGTAGTTGCAGAGAGCAAAAAGAACTCTGAGCCAGTTCTCTCAGCCACTCCTGATCAGACTTGTGCTCCAGACCCATCACCAGCTCCACTGCCCTTCTCTGGACATGCTCCAAGAACCTCAGTGTCTTCCCTGTATTGAGAGATCCAGAAATGGACACAGGATTCAAGGTGTGGCTTCACCAGTGCCAAGTACAGGGGAACAATCACTGCTCTGGTCCTGCTGGTCACACTATTGCTGATACAGGCCAGGATGCCACTGGCCTGCTTGACCCCTATGCTGGCTTATATCCAGCTGGCTGATGGCCAGCACCCTCAGGTCCTTTTCCACTGGCCATTCTTTCCCAAGCCTATAGCACTACATGGGGTTGTTATGACACAAGGGCGTGATCTGGCACTTTGTCTCATTGTATGACAAAATTAGCCTCAACCCATTGTTCCAGCTTGTCCAGATCCCTTTGTAAAGCCTTTTTACCCTCCAGCAGATTAACACTCCCTCCCAGCTTGGTATCATCTGCAAACTTCTTGAAGATGCATTTGATCCCCTTTTCCAGATCATTAAACAGGATTGGCCCTAGGGAACACCACTTGTGACAGCTTCCAATTATGTGTAACTCCATTCACCCCTACTCTGGGCCTGGCCATCAGCCAAGATGAACTGTACACCCATCTGGGTGATGAGTAGCTAGATTTTACAGGCGCATGTTGTGAAAAACAGTGTTGAAAAACAGCTTTCCTGAAGTCTGGGTAGACAACATCCATAGCCTTTCCCTCATCCTCTAAGTGGGTCACCTTGTCATAGGAGCTTGGGTTGGTTAAGTAGGACCTGCCTTTCATAAACTCGTGTTGGCTGGGTGCTTTTCCTGGTTGTCCTGTACGTGCCACATAATGGTACTGAAGGTGATCTGCTCCATAAGTTTTCTCACACCCAAGTCAGACTGACGGGCCTTTAGTTCCCAGATCCTTTTTCCAGCTTTTCTTGTGGGTGAGTGTCACATTTGCTAGCTTCCACTCAACTGGGACATCCCATTGGGGTAGCTGATAAGATGATGAAAAGTGTATCAGTGAGCACTTCCACCCTCTCCCTTAGAACCCTTGGGTGGATCCCATCTCCTAGATCTGTGTGTCTAAGTGATGTAGCATATCACTAACTTTGTCCTTGGATTATGGGGGCCTTGTTCTGCTCCCTATCTCTGTCTTCTGGCTCTGGGGACTGGGTACCCAGAGAACAGGTCTGGATATTATAGACTGAGGCAAAGAAGGCATTAAGTACCTCAGTCATTTTCTCAACCTTTGTGACTGTTTCCCCCTCCAGCAGATAAAGGATGCAGATCATATTTAGCCTTCCTTTTCTTGCTAATGTGTTTATAAAAAAATGTTTGTTATCTTTTACAGCAGTAGTCAGATTAGTTGAGATTTGGCCTTTCTAATTTTTTCCCTGCTTAACCTTTTTTTTTTAACCCTGAGACAGGATGGCTGTGTTCCATGCTAGCTTGTCTTTTAGCACATGGTTACAACCTGCTCCTGTGCCTTTAAGATTTCCTTCTTGCAGAATGTCCAGCCTTCCTGGACCCCTTTTTCCTTCAGGACTGCCTCCCAAGCCCAAAATCTCCCTCTGAAAGTCCAAGGTAGCCAGACTGCAAACCCCTCTCCCTACTTCTCTGAGAGTTAAAAACTGTCTTTTTGTGATCACTGTGTCCAATAAAACCTCTAACAATCACATCATCCACAAGTCCTTCTCTGTTCAAAGAACAGGCCAAGTGCGGTACCTTCCCTAGCTGAGTTCCTCACCAGCAGTGCCTGGAAGTTATCTTCCACACACTCCAGGAACCTCTTAGACTGTTTCCTCACTGCAGTGTTGTATTTCCAACAGTTAAGTCAGAGTCACGTACAAGAACAAGGCCCAGTGATTGTGAGACCTCCCATCTCCTTATAGAATATTGCATCTGCTTCTTCATCTTGCTTGGGTGGTCTATAGCAAACTCCCACCATTTTCTCTGATTTCTACACATAAACACACAACCCTTTCATCACCATTGTCAAGCTCTAGACAATCAAAACACTAATATACAAGGCATATCCCACCATCTATCCTTCTTTGTGTATGCCTTCAGAGGCATTTCCAGCCATCCACTGCAGCACTCCACTTGTGGGAGTCATCCCACCATGTTTCCACCATGTGATGGTAACTGTGTCACAACTATCCTGCCATGCAGTTTACTTCCAGC